ATATTATCGTTTGTTTTCCCTTTTGACCCATTTTTCATTTGTTCTAGTTTCTATTATTTTCTACTTTCTTTTGGATTGAGTTTTTTCTGTTTTATTTGTTGTCATTGTTGGGGTTCTTTGTATGATATTCTGTATGTAAAATCCTAGACAGGTAATCCAAAGAGACAGTAACTAGATTAATGGTTCCTTAGGGTTATAGCAGAGGAGGTTGGGATAATAGGGAGCTAATAATAATGGGTACAAGAATGAAGAAAATGCTCTAAAACTGATTGTGGTGATGATCTGATGACTGCACAATTCTTTTTGAACAAACGTAAACCATTGAATTTGTATGGTACATAAATTATATGCAACTATAACTTTAAAAAATATAGGGAGAGAATTGGTTATAAAAGGGCATGAGAACTTTCAAGGATTGAAATGTTCTAAGAAGACATGTTGTGTTTTGCCACTGGGTCAAACCACTGTCAAAATTCCTCATCAAACTAAAAGCTTACAAGCTGTACATTTATGCTTCAATAAAAATTAGAATTTAAAAATCAAGTCTGAAAGGGCAAGACCAGAGTTGTAGGGTAGATGGGATAAAGGTTCCCACTAAAAGAAAATTCTCCAAGGGCAACCCTTGCTACTCTTGAAGAATGAGCAGGTATTGCTGTCATGACAGAAAAAAATTCCTCAATCCAACTTTCATGACCTTTTTCTTACAGATGTACTTTCCATTTTCCTAGAACTTCTTTCCCCAAAGCCTCCATGATCATCGTATGTCCTTGGAGAACATCTATCAAGATTACCGCCTTTGGAATCCTCCAAAACAGTGGCCATTGCCTTCTTAGCTGAACTCTCGGCCTTGAATTTAACTGGTTCAGCAGATCCCATCAGAAGTCACCGCCTTCGCTGGAGTTGCAATAAGCAACAACGGTAAAATATAAAGAATACAAAACAAACTATGATCATTGTGTCACAGTAAAATAAGAAAGCTTCATTCTCTGCTGTACCAAAACAGAGAAGAAAAATTCACAAGCACTTGAACATGCTTTATTTGAAATTTACAGCAGCAAGCCTCAGATAAGCACTGCGTGACAATGAACCCAGGCAGTTAGCTTCCCTCCATCAAGTCAATCACAGTTTCTCCCAAAGGCCATTTCACACCTTCTTCTCAAATTGTGAGAAGCCTGGTGGTGCAGTGAGAAAATCACTGGATTGTAACTCCAGGTCAGCACATCAAACCCATCAGCTGCTCCAGGAGAGCCAGAAGAAGGAGTTCTCTTCTGTCCTGTGCAATCAAAACTGTTTCCATGGCAGTGGTTTCTCTTCGCAATTGTTAGTTTCTCTTTCCCATCATTATTCTCAGCTGATAACTTTAATCTTTTCATTAAGCCAATAAAAGCATTGAGAAGAAAATGTGTTCATTTTCTTATCAGCAAACTTACCATCCTATCCACAACCACATACTCAGCCTTTTTTCCTGTTATAATCCAGCTCCTCTCTAAATTTAGGCATCTGTCCATTGCATCCTATTTTTTTTCTGCCTACTCAAGGGCTTTATTTCTGTAAGAGCCCTTTCTTTAACACATCAGTTTTCTACTAGATTATTCCTGAGCTATATTCGATTAATGTGGCCTTTCCCATCATCATCCCTTGGGTGATTCGGATTTCATACACCTGTGGCTACAGTCCCATTTTGGAGGGCATTATCTGCTAACAAACAGGAATAGGATGATTATGTGCCTACTTTAGTAGAAGGTGTAAATTGGACCACATTCTTTGTTTAATGGTTCTCTCGGTTACTCTTATTCATAGTGGGTGTAAGGAATGATGTGCTACAGTTGAGAGGAGAAAGAAACCTGTTTCTGCACAGAGACGGATGATCCCGTCAGGACCAGTGGTGAGAGAGGCGATACTGGGAGGGTGGAGGGAGGGTGGGGTGGAAAGGGGGAACCGATTACAAGGATCTACGTGTGACTACCTCCCTGGGGGACGGACAACAGAAGAGTAGGTGAAGGGAGACGTCGGACAGTGCAAGATATGACAAAATAATAAATTATAAATTATCAAGGGTTCATGAGGGAGGGGGAGCAGGGAGGAAGGGGAAAAAATGAGGAGCTGATGCCAGGGGCTTAGGTGGAGAGCAAATGTTTTGAGAATGATGAGGGCAATGAATGTACAAATAAATGTGCTTTACACAATTGATGTATGTATGGATTGTGATAAGAGTTATATGAGCCCCCAATAAAACGATTTAAAAAAAAAAAACACCTGTTTCTGGAGTGGCCTGGGAAAAGCCTGGCTGATTCAGATTAGTAGGAAGCCAGTGCCTACTGAAAACATCATTCCAGAAGCCCCAAGTAAAATATGCATAAATAAAATATAGTCCAGAGGTGGAGAATAGATTTTCATATTAGGGTGAAATCTGATGGCACCATGTAACTCCCACCAAACGACCTCCCTGCACGGATATGATGCAGAAGGTGGGGGAAGATACTGATAGGGTTCGCCTACAAGGGACTGTGAACAGGATTCTCTGCAATGCCATCTTGCTGCACATTAAATGAGCACAACGAGAAGCGGGGAATATGAGAGCATTACCAGCAAGAGCCAGGCGTGGCGAGAATCCTCTGGCCCCAGCGTCTGGTTTACCCCATCTGACCTTCACTGCACTCCCAGTGCTGCAATTCTCAGAGCCCAGACGTGAGGCGGGGAGTTTACTTAGGTGAGAAATGGCGTAGAGATGGAGCGGACTATCATCTTCGAGAGCTGGACTTTTGGAACTCTTTCCATTTCCAACTCCTTGGCACCAGTTTGGTATGTATGAATTCTTACAAAGGAAATCATCACCATTGCCTTCAGCATACAAGCATGCTGCCTTAGTGCTCATATCAGAAACAAAAACAAACCATTCGCTTGATCCCAGACAGCTACAGTTCTAACAGCAAACTCTAGCGGTACTTAGCAGTATATGCGCACAATCTTCACAAACTCTTTTCAGATGCAGTCTTAAACTCCAAAGGAAACCACACTTGTCACCAGAAACTACCACACTCCCAAAGCCAATGGTCACTTCTCCCTCTTCATCTTACTCAACCTCACAGAAGCAATTTACCTCATCTTTTCTGGCTTTGAAACACCATCCATATCCTCTTAGTTATTCCCCTGCATCAGCAGCGCCACCTTATCAGTCCAGTGAAATCCTTTCTCTCCTCTTCCACACAGTCCTCAGATTCTCCTGCCCCCAAATGTATTAAAACCCATGGCTCTCATCAATAGTTCCCAGAGTGGGTAATACCTACCGCCCTCTGAGTAGGGGTGGAGGGTGGCCATGACAACAGTCCAAAGGGGTTGCAAAAGCAGATACCTATAGTTTATCCCGGATTATGAGCTATGGTATGCAAATGTTTAATTGCCAAGGGGGCACTGCATGTATATAGTTTTTTCTCTAAAAAGGTGGCTGTAGACCAAATAAGTTTGGGAATCTATGCTCTAAGTTTCTTTAAATGCTAAAAGCATGCATGGCACTCCCTAACAGCACTGTGTACTCATCTATCCAAAACAGCACTTCGACCTCCCTCCTGCCCCTTTGTTGCTGCTGCACTTCTTCCCTGCACTGGGATTAAATAGCACCAGCTTTGTCCCAATGCAACACTTCTCATCAGCTTGTGCACTCGAATCCAAAGTTCTATGACCAATTATCTGGACTAACTTATCTTCCAGGTTCTAGCCTCCGTATCTCTATACATTATCTTCTCAACAGGAGTCAGAGAAATATTTTTAAGACACACCATATTATGACACTACCTTGCTAAAACCGTCCAGTGGCCTTCCAAAATAAAAGTTCTTATACAATGGCCTATTATAATACTCTCTATAAAATCTGACCCCAGTGTGTCTCGTTTCTCTTTCCCTTCCTTCCTCTATTCCTAGTGAGACTTGTTCGCCTGCAGCTTCCTGATGTTGTTCAAGCATCTCTCTGCTTCAGATCCTTTGCATTTGCTGGAAATAATATTTAAACTTCAGCTCTACAGAAAGGTCTTCCATCAATATTCCACTGACAATATAAACTATAGCTTTCCCTTACTTTATTTCAACAAAAAAGTAACTATCTACCTATTATAGAATAGGGATGGGCAGATTTGTACTATACAGGATCAAGCACTAAAGATTTTTGGCTTTGTGGGCCATACAGTCCATGTCACAACTACTCAGCTTGGTAATTATAAAGTGAACGCAGCAGTAGACAATATATAAAGGAACATAAATGGCTGTGGTCCAATAAAGCTTTATCTGCATAAAAGAGATGCGAGCAAATTTTTCCCATGGGGTCATATAGTTAGCCAATCGTTCTTATACAGTTTAAGGACAATGCCTCTTTTTAAAAATATTTTAAGTGTAGTACTTAAGAAGAGATTGGAACAAGAAATGTAAATTTGAAAATAAAAATTCATTCTGCCAAATATCCATAATAATGTATTGATATGTATCAGCGTGCTTCTAAAATTTTGTGGAAAAATGGAAGGAAAAGAAACTCGATTTTTTTCCATGAACTTTTTGAAGCCCTCTTGTAATTTCACAAAGGTGGATTTGAGATTATTGCCAAGATGAAACCATGAGATATATATAAATCTGTGTTCTTCTACCTCCTGCTGACATAATGGTGAGGACTGAAGGAACATTAGGACAAGACAGATGGGTAACCCAATAGCGGCACATTACCAATCATTAAATTCTGGCCTCAAACTTTCTTTTACATTAACTGTTACACTAACTCTACAATGAATGGTCATGGACAACATTAGAATTAAACTTTGTTCTATATTTAAAAACAAACAGAATGAGTATTTTACAATCAATCCCCAAATGCTAATGTGTTCTATAAAGCATTAAAAATAATTAATCAAGATTAGAGAGATAATCAGCTTTTCACACATATATAAAAGCAGTAACTCATTGCTAGCCTGAATGATCAGCCTCTCAAATGTCAAACATAGCCTGTGAATGTATCTTACCTTAGATGCCATTCTCATAAAAAGTCTGTGTTGGTCTCCTGCTGTTCCCATCTTCTCGTTTTTGACTAAATCATTTAGGCTTAGATTATCATCATCATGAAAGTATCTGACTCTTTCTTTTTCCTCATGGGTTGAGGCCTATGGTAAAAAAATAAAACATCACTGATTTAGGGAGAATATAAGATCTGAAGTATTTTTAATAGACTATACATTTAATATCAAATATCAACTTCCCACTAATCTATCCTTTCATTTTCTCCCTATTCTACAGGCTTCCATGTGAAGGAACTTGCACAAGGTTAATACTTCTTACTTTGTCCCATTAATCTCCTCTTCCACAGGGACAGAAGCATGGTATTTGTTTAATTATTAACTGATTGAATATTTAGGGGAAAAGAAAACAATTGTTCTTTCTCTTTTTCTCTCCCCTCTGATGTTCTCTTCCTTACAAGAACTCCCTACTACTGTGGAGAAAAACCTCCAATAATCTAGAGATGAAGTGCATATATCTAAAAGAGAGAAGTATTAACCAAACCCAATTATAGTTATTAAGCCCACATTCTCCAAATAGAAGTAAAACTAGCATGCAGATCCCCAGTCTGCCTATCAGATGCTTCCATGCCCAGATGGGAAAGAGAAACGTGCTACTGATTCCTTCCCAGATCAATATTCCCAATATTACTCTTATATTCCCTTACTCAAATAAGATCCAATCTTCAACTTCTTTGAGATCTCTGGAACCATGGCTGTAATATTTTACCCAACATTACACCTCCTTTCTTTACTAACCTAAACCTCACATTTCATAACTTCAATCACTCCCTGGTTTTGATGGTCAATTCCTGGCCTTTTTCTCTTTAATCATGCTCAGAGAGCAAACCTTAATATTAAATGAATGCATTTACTTCTTGACTCAAGTATAAACAGCTTCGTAACTTTAACTCAAAAAAGGGTCCTCAATGCCATCTGGCCAAGGGTCTATAGATCCCTAATCAATTCTTTCTGTCATTTCCCATGATAAATAATTCAAGCCCTCACTATTCTCTTGCGTCATCTCTCCTCCAACCTCCTAATTTCTCCCATTCCATTAGAGGAGTATCTATGCCGCCTCTTACTTGTTTAGTGAGTAATGTCTCCAAGCACACAGGCACTCACTAGAAAAATAATAAGCACTGAACAAAAACAATCTGAATGATTAAATCTTTTGTCCAAGCAATTCCCATTTGATGAGCTTTCAAATTTAAAATAAAAATCTGTAAAAATTCCATATATTGCTTTTGCCATCTCAAGAGCCTCAAGGGAGGCTGTAAAAACTAATTGCTAGAATTGAAGTATGGAAAAGAAAATTAGATTTATGAAGGATCACAGCACTTTCATAATTACTTAAGACATCAATGTGTATAAGCATTCCATTACCATGTCTCAAATAAGCTGCCTAATACAGATAACAGTTGTGGGTCCAGACAAGCTAAGGTAAATATGTATAAAAAAAGTTTATGAATAAATAATGTGAACAAAAAGTATACTAAAATTAAAACTGCCATACTTAAACATTCAAAATTTACAATTATATTTGAAAACGTACTTGAATGCTGATTAAATATTCTATAGAAAGATCCTGATCAAAGAAGAAAATTACAAAACAAAAAATTCAAATTTCACAGACTCCACGCTTCCTGGAGTCATAAAGGCTGGGTGAACCCTTGAAACCATTATCTCTGGGAGAGGGGGAAGTAGAGGAAAGGAAGTGGTGTTAAACCCAGGGACAAGGGAACAAGTGATCCAAAATCGGTGGCGAGGAGGGTGCAAGAGGCTTTGTAGGGCTTGATCAAGGGCAATGTAACCAAGAGGAATTAATAAAACCCAAATGAAGGCTGAGCGTGTGAGTAGGATAAGAGGAAAGTAAAAGGAAATAGAGGAAAGAACAAGGAGGCAATGGGCATTTATAGAGGTCTAAATACAGCATGTACATATGTAAATATATTTATATATGATGATGGGGAAATAGATCCATATGCATATATGTATAGGTTTAGTATTAAGGTAGCAGATAGATATTGGGCTTCCACTCAAGTACTCCCTCAATGCAAGAACACTTTGTTCTATTAAACTGTCATTCTATGATGCTCACTTTCCCGACACAATTGCTAAAGACTAAGTGGGTGCATAGGCAAATGTG